GGTGCATTAAGCAATGCATAGAGGTGCATTTAGCCCACCCCTAACTTATACTTAATCTAATTTTACATCAAATCAATCTTGATTAATTTGTCCTAATTAATCAGTCTTCATCGACCTGCAGTCGAACACATGCACTCCTTAAAGCATGTCGACCAAAAAGGATTGATGCAAAAGGGACGATCGAAAAAGTTATGAAAGTAAAAACAAGAGGAGAAGATGATTGAAAAATGAATAGGTATTTATGCATGGGCAACGTTATGGGTTAAGTGATGTTAGGTGACCATGCTATTTTATGCTTGTTGGATGTTCCTTGTTTACTTTTTGTTATCTGATATCTGGTAAATTAATTTTTAATGCATTTGATTTTATTATTAGGTATATTGGAATCAAATAAAACTTTCTTCTATGATAAACAGATGTGATAGACAATAACGTTGTAAATATTGTCTTGTTTAGATCGCGTATTTACTGATGTCTTGTAGAGTTATATACACACACACACACACTCGAATCTCCTAGGAAAGAATATCTTTTATCTCATGGTAGCCTGCTCCAGTCCCCACAAAGACTTTCTCGAGGGAAACCAAAAAAGAGATATGGTACTCTGAATGAGAGCGAGAAAAAATGAGGCTTATCTTATAGTTTAGCAGCCATATTATCTCGTTCATGCTCCTTAGCTGAGAAGCAACCACCTAAAGCTCAATTAATTGTTGAAGCAGTAGCTCTGGATCGAGAACAAGGTGCTCTGTTTACTCACTTTAAATTGAGTATCCGTTTCAAGAAACTCATTTTCTTCCGAGAAGTGTTGACAATAAGTTCTTTTAAAATTGACCATTTGTCCAATAACAGAAGTCTCATAAGGGGATTGGAGCAGGCTACCAAGAGACAAAAGATCTTCTTTCTAAAGAAATTCTTTCTAAAACTATTATATGTCCAAATTTTTTTAGAGGTTTTCCTGACTTTGTCCGTGTCGATAAATAATTTGATATATTATATGTATGCAAATTTTTTAAGTTACAGCACAACGTGAGTCACGTGTTGTGTTGATTGAATTTCAGTATTTTTCACATGATTTTTCTCATATAAGTACAAAATTTAATGTATTAATCAACATATGTTTGTTTCACAATGTGTTTATTTCATATGTATTTGGTTCACAATGCAAAACTCTTTTACATGTACTTTTTGTTTCACAAACAAACAAAAAAGATTCACATTATGAACCGAATATATGTGAAACAAATACATATTAATTTTGACCATAAATGAAAAAAATAAAATCATATAAAATAACACATGATTCATTAGTTTTCACAAATATCTTACGATTTAACAAATTCTCATAAGAATACCCAATATATTATTTTATACTCTTATTCTTATATAAATGGTCAATTTGGTTTAAAAGCTCTCTTATAAGAACATTTTGACCACGAAAATGTAATAATCATAACAACCATCATTAATTATTTAAATTAAATAATTTGATTAAAAAATTTAAAAAAATCATAATGTAATTGACATAATTATAAGAAATATGTAAATAAATAATAATTCTCTATTTTAAGAATATACTACTATTTATATATATATTTAATGTATAAATCTAAAATAAAACTTACGGGAGAGAAATAAAGCAACTTCAACTTAAAGTAATGTAGTATTAAAGAATTGTTTGACAGTTTTTGCGAGATAATATTGATTGTGAAAGAGGAGATAAATATTAGTTCGGTCGATATTGAACGTGGAAAGAGAAACAACTAATGTTTGATCAAAATAAAAATCCAAAAACGATCAAATCAAAACCTATCGCGTTAAATCAAACAAAAATCAAAGGTTTTAAGGTTTCGCTTAATTTCTTGATTGGTTATAATTAATAGTTTAGCTTTCGATATCAATCATCACATCACATTTTATGTATTAAAATACATAAATTTATAAATATGTATATACACATGCATATATATATATATATACACTTTATACGATAATTAGAATATTTCACTTTTGACATGACAATTAATATATTACGAGTATAGAATAATTATATGTCCCATAAATTGTCCAATATATCTTCTGTATCTGAATCAAGTTGATTTTCTGCAAACTCTCTTTGTTAAGAAAGAGTAATTTATATCTGTTTTTTTTTCATGTTTATATTCATTGTTATATATGTACTTATTTGTATAAGTACTAATAAGTATACTAATATTTACCAAACGGTTACTTAATTATATTTTATTAAGGGATTGTTTGTTTACCTCTTAAAAGTTTCATTAAGAGGCAACATCTGAATCGTTAAGAGGTATCTTGTTTGGCAAAAAAAAAGTATGCCTCTTAATTATTCTAAAATCTTCTGAATAATTTTGTATATTGGGTCTCTCTTAACCATTCAACACCCTAATTCCATTGATTACCGGACAATTATATTTCATTTTGCACTATATTATGAGAGTCTCTTAATCATTCTGCACCAATCCATTTAACAACTGCCAAACAGCCCCTCAATGTTGTAAGAGATAAACACAAAATAGAACCAACCCTAATCATGAGAGACAACAATATGCAATTTTTTTAACCAAAAAACCATAATACTCATCGTATGAAATTTCCCAATATGGTAAGACTTTGTTCCATGAATTATACATTCAACATCTAATTTTCCATTGGATACAATATATACTCTTTTGATAGCTACGGTATTCAAGTTAATTTGCATGTAAATCAACTAGATTTATGGCAAAATTAATTTGAACCCTAAAAATACCATTATAAATTACACATACGCAAACGATAAAAAACGACACTTCAACTTCTCTGATATCTTTGTTTGTATTTTCTTTCCTCGTTCTCAAGCATTCCTAGAGTTGGAATTCTTGAATCTGTCATACGAAAATAACCTATTTTTCGATCTTTTTATAAATATACAAGATTTTGTTGATGAATAAAATGTGCATCTACATTTTTGGTTGGTGGGGAAGTTGGTTTTACTTATTCATGGATGCTAAAGAGGGGGGGAAATATAAAACAAGGAATGCACATTTAATTGCACACCACGTGTTTGATAATTTTCCCGAAAGAAAAGTGAAGCATTTTAGAGTATAGAGGATGATGAAGGGTACATGTCAACATGATTGATTTGGCCCTGCGAAAAGGCCACCCCAACGCACACCGCCGGTACCACGCCGCCCGGTCGCTCAGTCAAACATATGCGTGAATCTCAGACAAGAATCCTGCTTTCCCTCCACCCATGTCCCAATTCATCAAACCATAAAAACTGAATCAAATTACATCAATCTCTCGATCTAATTTCATTTTAAAATAATCAAATAAAATACATTCACCGTCGGTTTTATTTCCAACATAAGTCGGGGGTAATCAAGAAACAACCGCTCCAACTTTTTGGGTACTTTCGAGTGAGATATATGACGAAATTTTCTGACTTGATTTGGTTTATAATCCCTTAGATCGAGCATGCATAAGCTAAATAAGGGGCCGTTTACTAATCACTTACCCGGGTAAGCGCTTACCAAGTCACATTACCTCACCAGATGAATATGGTAAAGACTAAGAATTTTACCCGGTAAGAACGAGACAAGGACCATGAGTTTTATCCTGTAAGTGAGGGCGATCGACTCTTAACACGGTAAGCGCTTACTGGATGAATTGTTGCATACAACGTCGTTTTGATGGACTAAAATCTTACCCAGTAAGTAATTAATAGTGTTAAATTTTATCGGTAAGCACTTACCGGGTAAGTGTTTGACAAACGGCCCCTAAGAAAATATCAAGAAATTGCCCATTGAGCCATTTCACATATAAGCGAAGGGGACGATATACTTGAGTTAAAATACCAATAACATTTGTGGTTCTTATTTGTCAATAAGATTAAGCAACAATTTTAATATTTTGTTTTATTATATACGATGTTTATTAAACATTATACAAACAACTAGTTATATCATGTCTAGTTCTATTGTTATCTATCTATCCATGTGTCAAATACAAGCTAATGGAATGTATATGTGAAGACGACAAATACACACGTTGTTATACCTGACACGTCTATTTTTGTCTTAGAACTCAAATTCACTTATCGTTGATCACGAGACTCCATATTTATACCGATACGAACATAAACGTATATAACACACATTTGTGTATGCATATCAATATACGTGCATACATAGACACATTAAAACAAGGGTATTTGATTATACCTGACTAGTTGTATATCTATGTAATATAACGAAATATAAATTTCTTATATGAAATACTAAACTATAAACTTAATTTTCAATAGAATACATACGAAGTCAATAAGCAATACATAATATGAAATAATTATTTTTTAAATTTTTATACCAAATATATTATAGACTTGAGATCATGTGAGACCAACATGTTTCTATTAGATCCTTGTGACTATTTTTTTACACTTGAAACTTTTTCAAAATATTTTTGTTGTGAAGTTTCAAATGTAAAAAAATAGTCTCATGAAAACAAGTTGGTCTCATTTGAATCCAACCCATATATTTGTAATATAATTATATCAGATAATTAGATATCGATGTCAAATCTGTAAAAATCTGGAAAATCATTGTTACATCCACCATGCCGCATTGTGATATATATATATATATATATATATATATATATGTATGTATGTATATAAATAGAGGTGATGGTGGTAAAAAAGAAAGAAAAGAAAAAGAATGGCGAGGAAATAGGCAGAAAAAAGAGGGTAAACACATTTGAAGGACGAGCCTTTAAAGTTTCATCCATGGCCTTAGATATTTGATAGAGAGACAGACGTGTCAATTCTCTCCCATAGAAATCGCGCCCAACCAACATTGGAAAACTTTTTACCAATTTCAACCCTCCCCTCCACCACATTTCTTCTTCTTCTTCTTCTTCTTCCTCCTCTCTCATCTTCTTCCTCTTTCATCTTCTTCTATCGTGTGTGTGTATATATATATATATATTATATACATACATACAGACATACATACATACACTCTTTTGCCTTTGCCTTTGCTTTCCCTTGCTTTTCGTTTTTGGGTTGGGTTTTTCTGCCACAACTTCCTCTTCATCGATTCCTCAATTCGCTTTCTCTTTTTCTTTTTTGTTTTTGCTTGTATGGCGAAAGGATTTTCTAGGGTTCGGTTTTTATCATCGGATTGAAACAGGATACAAAGCTTCACAGACAGGTTTTGATTTCGTTTCTGAATTGTTTTCCTCCATTGCTGGTGATGGATCTCGATTCGATTTGTTAGGTATTCATGTTCAGTTGTATCCCTCATGATACAAACTACGATTTTGATCATATGTTTGATCAGGTAATATTGATTTTATCTGTTTTTCGTAAATTGGACGAGTGTTTTGTCTCAATCTAGGGTTAGGTTTCTATCCAATACAGTTTTGGTTTTGCTTAGAAAAATGGTGAATTTTGTGTTTGGGCGTGTTTGGTGGTAGATTCAGGTTGGGTTTTGGGGGGTGTAGGGTTACTGAGAAGATGACCGATTTTCAACAGCAACTGCCACAGAAGCCTGATGCCTGTTCCGATTTCGAGACTGGTGGTTCCGATTTCGAGAGAGGATTTCATGACTTAATGAGGGGGCAATTGGATGATTGTATGTCATTTGCATCCTGTAGCTCCCCGCGTACCACCGAGGATGACGACGATACTGACGGTGGTGATCAGCTTATGCGGCGGCGGAGGAGGTCCGATCTTGAGGGTGATGATCTCGCCGAGTCTTCTGCTGCTAGAAGACGTCACTCCCGGATTCTCAGCCGATGGGCCGCCAGGCAAGCACAGGAGATGATCACCACCATTGAGAGGAGGAATCGTGAGTCTGAATTAATGGCGCTTGCAGGTTTGCATACTGTTTCCATGTTAGATTCTTCATTCTTGAGGGAATCCCCATCTCCTTCCCCTCCCTCCAGGAGGCAGGGGAATGTCGAGAGGCCGAGCACCCGGGCATCGTCCATTCTGCAGATGTGGCGAGAATTGGAAGACGAGCATGTCTTGAATCGTGCCCGCGAAAGAGTGAGAGTGAGACTCCGACAGCAGAGGAGTGTAGACTCCAATACGAATATTTCGACCACCACCGAAGGCCGAGAAGATGTTACAGAGAGTGAGAACGACTATGGAACTTGGTCTCATGATCAAATGGAACCACGAAACGAGCGTCGAGACCATGACGGCTCTAGCCATGAGCAAACTCCTGATATCGGTGAGGTAGAGAGGGAGAGGGTGAGGCACATTGTTCAGGGATGGAGGGAAACTGGTGTCGCTGATCACTCACCCGGTGTTGCGCAGAGGAGTAATGGTCCACGAGCAGAGTGGCTTGGTGAAACCGAGCGTGAAAGAGTGAGGATCGTGAGGGAATGGGTACAAATGACTAGTCAGCAGAGAGGAAGTCGTGGCGGTCGAAGGGAAGATCAAAGTGAACAGAATCGTGAAAGGATTGGTGATGAAGGGCAGCCAGAGCATATTCAAAGGGACATGCTGAGGCTGCGTGGTAGACAAGCTCTACTTGACCTACTTATGAGGGTCGAGAGAGAACGGCAGAGGGAACTTGAGGGTTTGACAGAGTATCGTGCGGTTTCTGATTTTGCTCATCGCAACCGCATTCAGGTCGGTTCCTTATCACTCTCTCGTTTTGTTAGCCTTCACAATTGTCAAAACCCCGTATATTGGGGTCACACAGAAACCACCACTCTATTTTGTGAGTTATGGAGGTCAGGCGTGTTTACATCTTACCCTCCCAAAACCCCACCTCAGGTTGGGATATACCGAGCTTGTTTTGTAAATAGCATGTATCTATCCATGTTTGCATTTGATCATAGTAGGATAACGATTTGCTTACTAGTTTGTGATGGCATTAGAAGGTTTTAGAAGTATAGATGATTTCTGAAGCCTGTGTTTTTGTTTTATCAGTCATTACTGAGAGGCAGATTCTTACGAAATGAAAGGCCTGTAGAGGAGGAGAGGCCTTCTTCTGTTGCAGCAAGCGAGTTGGTCCAGTTGAGACAACGTCACACTGTCTCTGGTCTGAGGTATGCTTTATCTGAAGTTTTTTTTACTTGAATCTTCATACTTACTACAGTTTTTACGTAACTCATTAAGGGTAGAGGTTATGACTGCATACATTTCACCCTCACCCCACTTTCGGGGGTGGGATATATTGAGCTCATTTGGTTTGGTCTTGATAATTCCATGAATCTAAAGCTTTTCAAATAGAATGTTGATGGTTTTTGTTACTGTATAAGATTTTCTTTGTGATTGTGGTTTGATGGTGTGGCTCTCTTGATCAGGGAAGGGTTCCGGTCCAGATCAGAGAACATTGTTCATGGTCAAGTAAGCAGCCATTCTGATTACTATACTTTAACAATATCACTGCTTTTACGAGTGATTTGGCTCATGCAAATAATTCACAGGAGACCGAACATGAAAACCAAGAGCAGTCGCAACTGTGGGTTGAGGACATCGATGTTCACCAGGTCAGTGATCACACAGGAAGCTTGGAAAGTGTTGCAGCTGTTCAAAGTACAAATCAAGAAGCAGATATTGATGAAGGAGAGGAGTGGCAAGACCAGGTTGTTGAAGTCGAGAGAGGAGAGTGGCAGCAGGAAAGCTATAACGAGTTCAACGAATGGAGAGATGGGACTTCAGAAGATGTTGGTCGGAATTGGCAAGAAAATTCAGGTACCGACTGGCCCCAGGAAACTTCAGCAACCGGTGGAGAAGGTGCACATATGCATGGAACTAATGAGGTTTGGCATGAAGATGTCTCACGGGAAGCGGTTGAAAATTGGTCAGAGGGACCTTCCGATCCACCAAGAATGCTGCATTCTGTTCCCGTTAGGAGAGTGAATAGGTTTCACCCACCCGACGATGACAATGTGTACAGCATGGAACTCAGGGAACTTTTGAGCAGGTAGTAGACCTTTTGCTAATTATAATCTTTTCTTGTTTTTTTAACCGTGAATATCCGGCCAGCTTGCCTGTACATCAAATTATCACATGGGCCCTGAAGATAACAGTCAGGAAAATCCCCAGTGACTCTAAGGAGACTCGAACTGGTGACCTATTATGAGGAGTCCCAAAGGCCAACATTTATTTGCTAGTTGAGCTAGCTTTCACTCAGACTAATCCTTTGTTGTTCCTATTGCATTGACTGATTTTCTTGTTTACTGTAGGAGAAGTGTTTCTAATCTTCTTCGTAGTGGTTTCCGTGAGAGTTTGGACCAGTTGATTCAATCATATGTCAACAGACAAGGTCGTGCTCCCATTGATTGGGATCTTCACCGCAACTTGCCGACCCCTGCTTCACTGGAGGGTGACCAGGAGCAGCACAGGGATGAACAGACAGAGAATCAGCGGGATGCCATTGGTAGACCTTCACTGGTTCTACCATCTCCGCCAGTACCCCCACCACAACCAATGTGGCATCATTTGCCTTATTCTAGTTGGTCACGCCACAGCATGCATCGGTCTGAACTTGTAAGTTATTTCATCCCAGATTGGTTGTAAAACTATGTGGTTTTGTTAAGGTTAATGAATGGAGATTAATGGAGCAGGAGTGGGAGATGATTAATGATTTGAGGGCAGATATGGCGAGACTGCAACAAGGCATGACCCACATGCAGAGGATGCTCGAGGCCTGCATGGACATGCAACTAGAGCTGCAACGGTCTGTAAGACAGGAAGTTTCTGCAGCTTTGAATCGATCAGGGGGTGAACAAGGTATATATATGACAACACCTAGGCCGTAATTACAAGAGCATGGCACTTTTCTGAAAATTGACCGCTAATATCGTGGAGTTTGTTGCAGGTATTGCTGCAGAAACCTCAGAAGATGGATCAAAATGGGGTCAAGTTAGGAAAGGAACCTGTTGTGTTTGTTGTGATAGCCAGATTGATTCGTTGTTGTACAGGTATTCCATGTTATGCTCTATGAACACATTTAATATTACAAAGAAGCATGGAAATCTTGTGAAACAAAGCAACAAAACTGATACTATTAAATCCCAAATGACCTCTAATTATTGGTTCTGCAATGACAATGGCAAAAACCTAAAGAACTTGTACTGATCTTTTTATTGAAATCTAATTTGTGTGTACGTATGTTGTACAGGTGTGGGCACATGTGTACCTGTTCAAAATGTGCAAATGAGTTGGTTCGTGGAGGAGGGAAATGTCCGTTGTGCCGGGCACCAATTGTGGAGGTCATCCGAGCTTACTCCATACTGTAAACAGATTACGAACTGACTGACCGAGGAAGAACATTTACTCGAGTCTCAAGTTCTTCACATGTAGAGTGCGTCATATTTGCCTCACTGTTTTTCTGATTATATGCTGAATGATTACTACGCATTGTATAATCCGAATAACAATTGGCTCATTTCATTCCTTCATTGCTGCATAATAAAATTCTACAGAGTTTTCTTCGCATCATACATTTTTTATTTTGAATCAAAACTGTGATGGGATTGGTGGTTAAATGATAAAACTCAAGGTGAAAAAGAGTGCAAAGCAAATGAGTTTGCTAACCAATGCATTTGATTACTTGTAGTTTAATTACAAGTGGGCCTGCTAAAATCAGATATGCTTGATTTTAACCATTTTATTTAGCAAGTACCCAAAAAGAGGAAAAGGATTGAAGGTAATTTGAGAAATGAGGAGCCAAAGGTGCCACTCATCGACCAAATTATAAACTAGGCCTTTGCTTCCAAAAGGTTAAAAAATAGATGTGGAGAGAAAGGTGTGGTGAATCTTTTACTTGTTCTTGACCCGTTAGATATACAAACAAGATATATGTGTAAGTAATAGTCAAGATATGGATGCTCGTGTCTTCCTTGCAATCGACATGAACGCAATATAGAACAAAGATACAGTATCCAAGAAAAAGTGTCCTGATTTCTTCATTAAGATATGGCATGTACAAGTTACATGACTCGTATGTTTTTAACATGTCCTAGACTAGAAACTAAAAAAGAAAAGAAGAGGGCATGCATACATGATATACAATTACATATCCAAGAAAGACAGAACAATATCATCTACCTCCTCTTCTTTCATCTCTTTTAGTTTTGTGTTTAATTTACTATATCCTAAGAATTATGCTATTTCTTCAAGAATATAGTCCCATGTTCTTGGTTTTCCTCAAAAAAGATATGCCATCCATGGATATTAACATATAATGAATGAGAAAAGATCAATTAATTTACTTTTGGGTATGGTAAAAGGATCAATTTCCTTTTAAGTTACGAAAACCAGCTCCTTCCAGGCCTCACAGCCTTTAGCTTTGATACGAGCTCTTCTCTTTGAGCTTCAACTTCTGCATATTTGAGGCTCATGTGGAGGTAACGTTCTTGAAGTTCTTTCAACTCGGTCTCAACTGAGGATGCATCTTTATCATGTTCTTTGTTGATTGTTATGCCGGCAACTTCTACATCTTGTCCCTCAGACACGAAGCTGGAATTAAGGAAATGGTAGCAGCAAGTATATTAGTGAGAATGATCATCTACAAGGTTAGGCTTTTCCAGTTTCCTTTGTAATTTTAGACTGAGGTGGTGCATATTATAATGGGCAAAATGCAAGTTTGTTTTAGTTTGTTATTTAGTGTAACAAAAGAAAATATTTTTTTTCTCAATGTAACGAAGTTTCAGAAATTCTTATATTTTATGCATTTTAACCGGTAACATGTTGATCTAGTAACATTTGATAATATGCATGTTAAGTTTATCGTCCACTTCATCATAACTCTTTCATAAACCTTCTGTAAATGGGTATTTGTGTTATCCAAGTTACTTGATCAGCAGGTTACCGGTTAAAATGGTACAAAATAGAAATTTGAAACTTTGTTACATTTATTGAGAAAAAAATATTATTTGTTACACTAAATATGAACTAAATAAGACCTTGTTGCATTTTTCCCTATTAGAATCTGCACATGATTTCAATTAGATTCAGACAAGTTCTTCTGCGCATACCTCTTAATCTGGGCCTTATACATGTCATTTGCCTCCAAAGCCTCAGCAAGTTCATTCTCAAGTGACCGGATTCTTGATGCTGCATCAATGATTGTCTCATCTTCCACATCCTGCCAAATTGAAAAAACAAAGTTAGTAGCCAACTTATAGCCATATTTTTAAATTTACCATATAGAAAAGATCTTATATGGACCTCTGAGAACTTCATGTAGTCGTGAAGACTACCATTTGATCCAAAAGAATTAGCACTATTATTAGTAGATCGCTCAATGTCATCTGGCTGTAAACCTTTTTTCTGCTCCAATTTCTCTTCAAGGACTTGAACGTTCTTCATGCATTCATCTTTTTCCTCTTGAAGATGATTTATCTTCCGCTGTAGATGACTATTTGATCGCTTCAGACGCCCTAGCTCATTTTTCAACTCAGCATCCTGTGCACATAATGCTTCTTTAGCAGTTAGATCACCCTGAAGCCGCATAATTTGTTCCTCCAAGGCAACTTTACTACGTTTTTGGTCCTCTAATTCGATCACTCTCTTCTGCATGCTAGATGTTTTCTGAAACAATGAAGTTTTCTCTTCCTTCAATTCTTCATAATCCGCAGTAATCATCTGTAATGAGGCTTCCAATCTTTCATTCTCATACTTCACATCATTGAGTGAATTCTTAAGAGCCACCACTTCGTCCTGCAATAGTGGAACTTTCTGCAATTGACCCTTAAGACTTGAGATTTCTTCTGTTAATTGTACTCCTTGGTATTCACAATGTTTGAGGTCATCATGGAGCTCACCAACTGTGATTCTTAGCTTTTCTTCATTAGATCTGCTATTCTCCAGCAACTCCATTAATTTGTCAAGGTTTGCCTCTAGAATTCCATGGTTCTGTTTGGAAGCAGCAAGCTCAACCATCACATCTTGAATTCTTGCTTCATATTCATCTTGGATGGTATCAAGCTTCTTCTCAGATGATCTGAATTTTTCTTTGACATCTTCAATAGCTATTTCCAGTTTATCCTTGTCTGCACGTAAGACATGCATTTCGAGTACTGCCTCTGAAGCCATTCTATCCCTTTCATCTTGAGTTGCATATATCTGTGTACTGAGATGTGCTACCTCTTGTTGAAGGTTATCGATTTCAACCATCTTTTCCGAGTACATTTGATTGAACAAGTTCTCACCCATAACAAACTTCTCTGTCTGCTCTTTATTTTGCAGATATAAATCTTCGAGTTCTGAAACAAACATTTTCTCTTTTGTGGCAACCCCATTGATCATCAAGGAGAACTTATCTTCTAAATCTTCCAAGTTCCTTGACAACTTGGAGAAATTATGTTGTGACTCCCTCAGTTCTGCTTCCATGTCTTTGCTGCGATTATACAAGTCGAGTCTTTGTTGCTTTAGCTCTCGATTTGACTTTTCAAGTGCACTGCACTCTTCGATCAAACTTTCTGCAGTATTCTGTAATTTGGGATTTGCTTTTTTCAGATATTCACACTCCTCTTGAGCTTCTAACCACCGTTTTTGCATGTACTCCAATTTCTGTCTCATATCAACCTTGCTCGTTTCTATTTCCTCTTCTAACCTTCTAATTTCAGCCTGCAAATTCTTGATGCTAGTCTCTGAATGCTGTATCTCCAAACGACTTGACTCTCTTGCATCAGTCAAATATCTCAGTTGAGGTTCTAATCCAGATATGCGCTCCGATAAGTGTATATTTTCTACTTCCAATTCAGCCAAGTGCAGCTCTAACTCCTTATTACAACTCTCAAGCTCAAGTAACTTCTTTTCAAGAATCTTGTTGGCTGCAAATTGGGAATCCTTTGTACCATTAAGCATCACCATGTCACTCTTCACCTTATCTAGACATTCGTAGATGAGTGTACTGTCGCTTTGCATAGCTTTCAGACTTCCCTTCAACTGACTTTTCAATATTTGCATATCAGACAATTGAGTCTTCAAGTCTCTCTGATTGTAACTCCGACACGGAATCTCCCTGCCCTTCAGCAAAAAACCTGATTTGAGCGCTTCTATCTCAGAGGTTTTTGCCAATAGTTCCTTTCCTAGATCCTCCACCCTGGATTTTAGTTCCATGTTGAACTTCTCAAGCATGTCATTATTGTTCTTCAAACTATCATCCATCTTATTTTCAACATTCCAAGGATCCTTTGTCATTGGTTTGGTCTCTTCACCATGTACATTATATTTAGCCACATGAAGGTTTCCCAATGATGTGTTGGACTGGACTACATTGTTCAAGACAACCTCAGCCTGCCCTTCTTGAGGGAATGAATCTGTACATGTCAAATACTTTCAACTGTCAAAAACTATATATACATCCAAATTTAAAGGTTAAGAGAATCACTTGGTTAATGTTATGCAACAGAAGGGCATGGTTCAAATAACTTATGGAACGATTGACAAGTAGTTATAAGATCAACTTAGTTGAGAAATATAATTGGAAGGTACTTACTTTCTTGTTTTCCTTCTTGCTGCGATTTCAATGATTGTTTCAATGCATCAACCTCCTTTTCCTGCTCTACTGCCTTTTCACGATATTTATCGAGTTCACCATCAAGATAATAAGCTCTATCCTTGAAACCTTGGATGTTTACCTCTAGTTCCACACACTTGCTTTCTAGATCATTACAACGAAGTTGCAGGTAGCCAGCATCTATTCCATCAAGCTCTCTCTTCTTTGCCTCCTCTTTGAGCTGCTGTGTCTGGCACTCGAGTTTGATCATCTTAGAATCTTCAATAATGGGGGACTCGGAACCAGGACGCCTTCCCAGTGAAGAACTAATAGAATTAGCACCCGTTGAAAGATCCTTACTTGATTCTTTAAGCTTATATAGGAGCTCGAGATTTTCATCAGTAAGCTCATTACAATCTCTTTCAAGCTCCTGAATCTTATCCTTCAAAGCTTTAATCTCGATGAGATCTGGGGTTTCTCTTGAATGTGACTCTCTCTCCACTGGAAATTGTGCAGCATGAGCTTCTGATAATTTTTCTTCCAGATTAAAGATTTCTTGGTCTTTCAAGGTTAGTTTCTTCGTCCACTCCAACTCATTATCCAAAAGAGTTTGAGCCTTGAGAACTTGTTCACGCTCTATTTCTTGAGTTTTCTCCTCCAGGGTTTTTTCCAGATGGAGAATAATACTCTCCAACGTCTTTTGTGACTCCAGAAATTTCTGTAGTTGGAGTTCTGGATCCCATTGGTCATTCCCTTCAACAAGGAAACCAGTTTTGGGGTTCTCAATAGAATTGTTTATATAATCTGAACCACAGGGCACAGCCCTGATCTTCTTATCGGATACTTGCACCCTTGTATCTGCTTCTTCACCGTCCTGCTCTAGTTTCAACATGGTGAGGCTCTCTATCTCCAATCTCTGTTTCTCTATCGTCTCTTCCAGTTCCTGGAGGATAGAAACTAGCTCAAGATTTGATTCCTGAGTTCTATTTAGCTGCAGAGACAAATTATCATTCAACTCTTTCTGAAATTTTATTTCCTCTTCCAATTCGGTCTGGATATCTTTTTTATCTTGCACCTGGAGTTTTAGATCGTCAGCATCCTTTTCTTTCACTGCCGATTCATCCAGGAGAACTTTCAAGTAATTTATTTCATGTTTCAGTCCATCACATTCTGTTCGTGATGCAAGAACCTCCATAGTTGCATTTTCCAACTTCTTTGTTTGGTCTCTGGACTCCTTCCTTAAGAAATCTAGATCAACCATCAACTTCCGTGTGTTTCTTTCCCACATTCTTGCTTCTGTCCTAAGTTCCTCCATTGTGCTTCCTTCGGCTTCCAGAGCAAATTCAGTGGAACCAGAAGTTCGTAATGGTGATGCAGGAATAGAATTTGAAACTTTTCCAGAATCTTGTCTTTGACTTAAAACATTCTTACCTGAACCTGAGCTGTAAAGAGAATGACTTGATCTAGGAGAATCATAGACATGATATGAGCTATCCTGTGCACTATTCGAAGAGCGTACAGAATCCTGCCTTCCAATTAGGTCATTTGCAACTTCACTTAGATTCCTATTAGGGGAACAACTCTCCCTGCCAAAAGAATCATCCATTGAATCAAAGCTACTACGTGATCCCCCTGCAGATAAGCTTCTATCCTGTGCAACAAATAAGGTGTTATTAGATACAGAAAGATGCATAAGTCTGAGCCTCTGAGGTTACTCCACAGTGAATTTCTATTTTAATGTGAAATGAGTAGCAGTTCAAATGATATCTGGCTCTTACATTGTTAGGTTGAAAATGTAAAACAAAGCTAACCATGCAATTGTTTATGTAACTTGTGACGGTATAACTGGATGATATTTGTCAGCTGAGCGGGAAATATTTATATAACATGGGGGGGGGGGAGAGTAGATAAAAGCTACAGCAGCTGATCTTTTGTAAATCATTGAATGACCCACAACAACAATACAACCTCATATAAAGTGTATTTTTAGACCAAGTAAGAAATGATAGAAGCATAGACAGGCGCTGATACCAAGTCTACTGCATATGTAAAGTCGAAATAAACACAAGTCGGGACTCATTTAAGAATTAAAAGTTGAAACTGGACGCCAATTATGTGACATAATTCAAATTGTATGTCAAAAATTATTCAGGTGAATTTGTAAGAGATACAAAGAACAAAAATGCATCAGATCAAACAGCCAAAGAAGACCAGTATCATAGTATGAGTCTTAAGGTAACCAACATTTCATTTTAGAGTTCAGTGAAAGAAAGTACCCTGCTACCGAGTCCACCTGCTTGAGATGTATACTGAAAGTTACTGCTTATGGAAGATCCTAAACTCTTGGTGATTCTACCATCAGATGCATCTGAAGTGTTATCAAGGTCATCAGAAGCATTGGCATCTTCGGTGAAAGAATCAGTGTCTGTCCATCTGTCATTTCCCGGAACATATAGCAAGTTAGAACCTATGCCAACGATTGAAAGAATAAATATTTAGCTTCAGCTGTTCAAGAAAAAACCTCAGATTTGCTCGAGGTGTTAGGCACTGAATTTCCACCTGCAAGGAGAAAGAACCCAAATTCTCTTATAAAAAAATGTTTACCTCAACTCTATAAGAAAGCTATTATTTTTGAAATACTGGACAAGTGAAGTCATTTCCCTCATAATCAGAAGAGTATTTTGAGGGAATCATCAGTGCATAAGCCTAGAGTGCCTTAATAAGAAATATAGTAAAAATCTGCACAAGAACTATTCCACATGTCAAAAACTACCATCCATAAAACTCGTGTGAAATTTAAATCATGATATTACACACTGATAATGGTAATGGGCATCCCAAGAAAAAACAATATTTTCAGTATATGACTGTATATCATGAGAGATATTGCCTATGATAGCTAATTGCTATTATCTGATATATCTTATGCGTGACTGTGCTACTAGGACTAATGAAAATGTGAATGGTCCTCAAAACCATAGCATACTCGTAGAGAAAGATCTCATCAAAGAAATTATACCAAGAACACATTCTAGGATGACGAGGGTACTAGAACAAATTGATCAAGCCAAGTCTAAACCTATTGATGCTGTTTATGGAAACTTTCGCTTGGTAGGAAAATAAGGAAGCGTTGTTATATCAGGCATAAGTTGCACAAAGAAGGAAATCATGATGGAGCTCTTGTTAGTTCTAGGACACAACCTGTGGAATATAAAAAGTTCCTGGACTGACTAATGAATGCCATTAAACTAGTTGCACAAGTCCAAAAGTTCAGTATTCATCGCGATTTATTGCTTATGGTTCAAAAAAGGTAGTATCTGTCTAACACAAGCTATTGACCCACAGAAGCAATGCTGGCTTCGAAAAAGGATATACTAGAAGCATATCCTTCTATAAGTGAAAGTATTTCGTGCAAGCCAATCAGTCGGTATGACCATACATCAAAGGACACAAAATAATGCACAAAAACACACCAACAACGATGATAATATGAATAATCACACTACTGAAGAATCCAAAAGAAAAATTATTGTTTTTCTAAAGGGGCTTGGAAGCATCTGATGATGACTAACCTGTAAGATTGTCCCATGGCTACAGTTTTTTAGTGGTTGCGCAATAGAAGTGGAATTTTCAGAACTGAAATGACCTGACAAATTTACTGTAACTTCTCCAAGGATGCTTGATCTACCTGATCCCTGCCAAAAGACATAACCATAGATTATTAGTGGAATAATCATAGACCATGACAAGCACATGGGAAAATACAAATAAATCAAACTGAAACTTTATTAAAAGCATGAGATGGATCGTACCATTGAAATAAAAAGCTTATATAGGCATTGCTCAAGCCCTTTTGAAGCATCATCATGGGGAACCCAAATGCGTTCTGACAAATTTTCAGTCCATCGACAAATTCCATTCTGTACCGCTGCTCTACCTGTTTTCGCGATCGTTTTTCCTGTTTCTACAGAGATGAGAGACAGCGAAAGCTTATCCCATCCTTTGGGGACCTGGAAGTGCAAAACACAGTGAGCAAATCCGCAACAATTGTGCTTAACAAGAAAAGGAATCTTTGTTGCAATGAAAAGTTAAAATAGATAGCTACTTGAAATATAACCTAGGCCAGCTGTCATTAGAAGCTGCCACAAGGTTACATAAACTATGAAACAGGTTCCAATAGTTACAATTATTTAGGAAACAATCTGCTAAAGACATGTGAAACAGAGTTATTCAAACAGTTCTTTAGAGAAGGATCCGGGGAACAGGGTCTGAATTGAATCCGTGACCTCCAACATATTAATGCCTAAGGGACGGGCACAAATATCACCAAGCTGAATACTTGATGGTAGGCGGAATATACTCTATCATCCTGTTCATGCACGTGTGAATCCATCTTCTGGCTTGTCATATTTTATTGCTCATCAGATTGGTCGAGATCAATGACTTCTACATCTATGATGATGAGGCACACAATGTTTGGCAGATCCCTTTCAGCCGATATTTACTGGTGCACGAATCTTCTCAATCCCGGGACTTGCTTCTACTGCTCTCTCAGGTCAAATCTAATCACGTCATTTCGACACCGAGAAACCAGGGAGAATTCTCAGTGGTGATGGCTTCAGAAATTTTGCAACGTCGGCCAAATATTTCACTTCCTTCCTGGGCTAGCTTTGTATGGCACAAGCATGTCCCCTCCAAGGTGCATGCTTCCATTGGTTGGCAATCGAGATGTTGTTCCTGTAAGAGACGTTTTGTTTCATACATCCTTGTAAACCATGACACCACCTGCCCTTCGTATGAAGAAAGCAAAGAAACAGGACAGCGTCTTCTTATGCATTGCAGGTGGGCAGATGCAATATGAAAGGCTTATTTCAAAAGTGGGGTCCCGAATGTGCAATATCAAGCATTAATCAATTCGCTGAAGATTTGCAACAAAGGGATATGGGAAGGGGCTCACAAGTTTGGATATTTGTTGACCCCTATACATTATGGATATATGATTTTGCTGGCTCGTGATGATTTTGGTGTTCAACAACGAAGACGTGTGGTTGTCTAAAAAATAAAGATCAGAGTGTATTAGACATTAGCCGCAAAGATGTTCTCCATCACTAACTTCCATCCATGGTCAAACCAACCTTCGACTACACCACCTCGCTGGATAGATTTCCTTTCAAGTCTTCGTTCATAGTAGTTATAAGGTCACTGTTTTGTTGGTTTAGATCCCTTCTCAAATGGCAAACTGCCATTTGAAGTGAGATCTTCGAAAATCACTGTATTTGTTGCTTCAACTATGTTGAACTTTTTAATGAACGTACTTTTCCTTTTGCCAAAGAAATATACATTATTACTTATCAGATTCTTAGAGGTAATAGTGAGCCTTATTCTGTAGGCTACAAGCCCATCTTGCATGATGCACATTTTTCATACAGGGATTTCCCTCAACAATAAACATCAATTGAAACACTAATCTCTTCATGGTATCAAAGACTAATGTCGTGAACTTAGATTTTCCCCGGACAAATCATGTGGCCTTAACGCAACAGTCCTAATTGAGCTATATAAGCCAAAGGATAATGCTAAATAATTAACGGAGAACACTCACAACTACCCAAGGGAGTTCCAGCGAGTAATTTGTAATGAGAACTCAAAAACGAACTTCATCAGATTCTCCTTGGATGATCTTTAGTTGGACCACTGACGGTTTAGAAATGAGCTATCCCCTCTCTATAGGAGACTCCACCTCCTCAACATAACACATATCCTTGTCTATCTTTTTTGCCTCAATAATCAAGCACTTGTTACTGTATATCATAGTTATGGTCATTTTATTTGAAACGCAAGAGAAAAAAAATAAGACCGCACTTATTATATTTTCTCGAAACAGAGGTAAGAGAACATCATTCCACATAAAAACTCACTCACAACTCGATACAAATTAGACATTCCATAGTTTTTTTAACACCTCATAAAACCGAATACAGCAGGTCCCTACATCTCGTCAGCAGTTGTACAATTTTGTTGTCTGTGTGACAGAGACAGAGACAGACAGACAGAAAGGAAATGGCTAGGTTACCTGAAGAGCCTGAAGGCCGGAGAATTTGAATTCGAGTCTTTCACCGGAAGTATAATCAATGGAGGCGGTTGAAGAGGATGAAGAATTACGGCGGTGCAACCTCTTCATCATCTGCTGCTTAATCGTCTCCTTCATTCTCCCCTCAATTCCTGTATCCTTCAAATTTCAGAGTTGAAACCCTTTTCTACCAACGATTTTGGTCCATAAATAAGAGAGATTGAAAGAGTCAGAGAGAGAGAGAGAGAGAGAGAGAGAGAGAGAGAGAGAGGAGTGGGGAGGTTATTAGCTGTACGAGTTGAATTTCAGTTGGAGCAGGGGTGCTACTCCAATCAGTTTCAACACCTTGGATGACTTTTTTATTATTTTTTATTATTTTTAAATTACATGTTGTAATTTTAATAATTAAAAGAGAAAATATTAAGTATGAACTAAGTTTAATAATTTAAAAACAAAATATAAAATAAGAAATTCCAGCTACAGAGAAAGAAAGGATTTTGTGTATTTGGTCACGTGGACTTTTTTCCAGAAGTGATATGGTCTGTGTTGCACATGGCATTGGCAAAACAAAGGACCTTATCTTTGAACCTTATATAATTTGTACTGTATTATAAATATTTCATAAAAAAATTTAAAAATTATTTTTTACATGTAAAATATTGTTTATTAATATATATTACTTAAACTCAAGATTACAAGTAAATTATGCGTAAGTACAACTTATTAAAACTCCATATTTAAATTCGTGTAACTAACTGCAGATAAACATAATCAAATACAAGATAAACATCTCATTTTAAATATAAAAATTCTAAAATATAATTACGATAATTATTGAGTTCTAACAGAATACTTAATCATTATCTTTATAAAATGTTATTGTATTAATCCAAAAATAAATTATTTTGTTATTAAATTTAAATTAAATTATAATAAAAAAATAAATTAAAGAAATTACATAAAAAATAGAACTTTTAAATAATTGATTTGATATTAACATTGATATATTTTTTTTCAAATTTTTATGATATCTTTAAATTTATATTTTATTCAAAAATAAAATCATTAATGTTTTTTTTTTTAGAGAGAGGGGGGTGACCCTTCCAGATCAAGAAAAAACACTTAAACGCTAAAAAACAAGACAAAATACTCCCTCGGGTGGGGGCGAACCACATCCACCAGAAATAAACAAGGCACCCAGAGAGAAAAAAGGAGGAAGAAAGTGAAGAAGAAAGAAGAGAGGAAGAGAAAGAGAGAAAGAAAAACAGAGAAAGAGGAAGAGACGAAGAGAGAGAAGAAGAGGGGGAGAAAGAATCATTAATGTTTTCTTAAAAACACATAAAATCGTATTATAACATCGACAGAAACACATAATAAAATAGAACATTAAAATCAAAATGTGTTTCGCTGCATTGCGCGAGCATTCTTCGAGTTCTATTAATATAATATTTTGTTTGTTTATAAATTTCAAATAAAAATGGAAAAATAGTATTTGATGAGTGTTTTTATTTTAACCAGGTGATAATTAAATTAAAATTTTAATTATATAAGATAATAGCATAATGCATATAACGTTTGAAAATTCAATTTTGAGCCGAAAATGGATTGAGGACCAAATTTAGAGGTACTGTTTACGAGCGTGGTCCGTGCTTTTGAACCTAATTTATTTAAAGATTTCAAGACAATTATTGAATTGCAAGTCTAGTTTAAAGTTGATTTTTAAAGGTAGGAAGGTGGTTGTGGACATTAAAGTGAAATAAAACCGGTTATGATTGTTCAATTCACACCTAAAAATCGGTCATTATGCATATCTAGAAAAACATTGTTCATAAAAAATGTTCAAACATGGGATCAATTTTAAGTAATTCCTAGGCTCTCAAAAATAACATTTTTTTAGCTATAAATTAACTTAGGGGTCGTTTACCAAACACTTACCCGGTAAGCGTTTACTAGTAAATTTAACACTGTCATTTACTTATCGGATAAGATTTTAGTCCACCAAAACGTTATCGTATGCAACAATTTATCCGGTAAGCGCTTACCGTGGTAAGAGTCGTTGCCTTCACTTACCGGGTAAGACTCTTGGTCCTTGTCTCGCTTTTACCTAGTAAGATTTTTGATCCTTACCATATTCATCCGGTAAGATAAAATGACTTGGTGTTCACTTACCCGAGTAAGCGTTTGGTAAACGGCTCCTTAGGCCTCATTTGGTTTACGGGATTTGATAGGATTTTAAGGAATTTGAAATAGAATTTCATTCATTTCGTGGTTGGGTTGAAACAATGTTTAGATTTGAAATCTTGGAATTTCATTGAGATCGTTAAAATCCCATAAACGTGGAATTTAGAAATCTCATGGATGGTTGGTGTTTCGTGGGATTTCGTAAGATTTGTTTGTAATATTTTTTAAAATATATTAAAAATACTTGTTTTGTAATAAACATTTAATAAAAATATAATTTAATTATTTTCATAAGCTTTTTATAATATGTTTTTATAAATTATTTATAAAAAATATAATTCAATTTTATCCAAAATTATACAAACCAAACATATCAAATATTTCAAATTTTTTCTATTCCAAATCTATCTACAAAATTTAAATCCTCTTAACATTCTATCAAACCGAAATGGTACGTAGATAACGACAAATCATGTTGACCAAATTCTGTTGGTCTACTTGGTTGACATAGTCAAATGGGTTCAATCCCATCTGGTCCCATGAATTACACCACCTAAATCCACCATTTTTAATAAATTATTAATATAAATACTAATTTCTAATTTAAATAATAAATGATAAGTTTGTAATCTATTATTATTTATATTTTGATGTTATAGCTACGTTTTACAAACTAAACATAAGGTTTAAAATGTTGTTTGTTTACTTTTTAATAGTTTTATTAAGAGACAATTTCTAAATCGTTAAGAGATGAATCTTGTTTGACAAAAAAAAAAAAATCTGCCTCTAAATGATATAAAAACCCCATGAATAATTTTGTATCTTAGGTCTTCCTTGACCATTCAACACCCTAATTTCATTCTGAATAATTATCAAACATTTATATTTCATTTTTCACAATATCATAAAAGTCTCTTAATCATTCAGCACCAAAACATTTAGCAACTACGAAACAACCCCTAAATTTTATTCAATTCAGTTTCTTGCCAACCAAATGACCGTTAATTCAGATTCAATTTTAATCTAATTTTTATAAATTTCAATCTTTTTATCGATTCTTTTCATTCCAAAAACATTATATAAATCAAACATTTTCTTAATGTTTTTTTACCTTCTTAACCTTGACCAATTACCGTAAATACATAATCATATCTTCACAATAAACGTCTTTTCATATGAAATCTAAATTTTTATAATTAGATCAAAAAATATTTATATTTTTGTGAAGTATCTTTCATAATCACCATACTATGTGCCCAAGGAAGAAAACCATGCACTAATTCCTTGAGTTTCATAATTTGCCAATTTTGGTCCCCTTGATTCTATATATTACACTTCTAGATATTGTATAGATATACGACTAATACACTTTAAAACATAATTATGTTACAATGTTCACCATATCTATACTATATTATAAAGCATTTGATAAAAACTTTTAAAAACCAATTTTTATACGTAAAGTACTGTTTATTAATGTATATTACTTAAAACTCAAAATTACAAGTAGATTGTGCGTAAGTACAACTTATTAAAGCTCCATATTTAAATTCGAGTAACTAACTGTAGATAAACATAATCAAATACTTGATAAATATCTCATTTTAAATAACAAAAATCTAAAATATAATTAGGATAATCATTGAATTCTAACAGAATACTTAATTATTATCTTTATAAAATGTTATATTATTAAACCAAATATAAATTATTTCGTTATTAAACTTAAATTAAATTATAATCAAAAAATAAATTAAAGAAATTACATAAAAAATAAGAACTTTTAAATAGTTGATTTGATATTAATATTGATATATTTTTTTTAAAATTTATATTTTATTCAAAAATAAAATCATTATTGTTTTCTTAAAAACACATAAAGTCGTATTATAACATCGACAAAAACAAACAATAAAATAGAACATTAAAATCGAAATGTGTCTCGCTGCATTGTGCAAGTATTCTTCTAGTGCTAATAAACTAATTAATTGGATTTTTAAGTTTTTAGTTAATGATTGTGCGTTTTATATAAAACATACAATAACTTAGGATAATCCACCGAGTAACATCTTATGAGTTAAATTCTTAAAAATTCTATTAAATTATGTAATCTACAAGTATATATATTGTCCTATTATATTTATAATATCCGTGTTTAATTTTTAGACAAACAATATTTTAATAAAATAATCGTTATTAATTAAAAAGGTAAATTACATTAGAATATAATGTAATTTTTTATTTTTTTTATTTTATTTTCAATAAAAACAAAAAATTATACTTTTTTAAATGAAAATTTATTGGTTACAAAATTATGACATTGTTCGTATACATTTATTTTATATTTCGATAGTTGCATTAAAACAGTAGTATATTTTTCTAATTGTATTAAAAATTAAAAATTATTTTTAATGATAAACTTTTTAAAAATATTTTTACCAAATTAAAAGATCGTACCAAAAGGAAGTTTAAAGGAATTAACTATAGTTTTAGTCCCTGTAGTTTGTTAAGAATTACAACTTTTGTTTTAATGCTCTTAAAATTACAATTTACGTAAATTTATGATTTATTATTATTTTTGTTATTGTGACTAACTTTATTAATGGTTTACTGTTAAATATAAGGGACTTAGAACAACAATGAGTTTTGAATCATGTAAATAACAATAACGTTTACTCAATTAGTTGTAAACTATAGGAACGAAAATGAAAATTTATTTAGGGATCACACCGTAAAACTTATAATTTAAAAAACATAAGGATAAAAATAGCAATTTCTAATACTATGGGGACTAAAAACGTAGTTTACTCTTTAAAAATAATGAAGACATTTTATAGAGCCCATGTGAAAGACACGTGTTCGTCTATTTGGTTTAGGCAAATAACTTACTAGTAAGCCCTTTAAATTTGTAAATTTAACAGTTTATTACCCTCTCTGTGTTTACATAACAAACAACATATAATATATTATAATGCATGAAAATTAACATCGAAGGTGGAGTTTGATTCGTATATTTTGAATGAATTTAATGAAATTCAAACGTTAAATTTATTTGACCAAATTTCATTCATTTATTTGGTTTATTTTTTTTAAGAGATAATTCTTTACATTTCAACGAACTCCACAAATATAGGATTTAATATTCCATGAAATAAGATGATATTTTAATTAAATGGAATGTTAAATCTTCATAACTTCAAAAATAGCTTTAACCTAAATATACTCTCATCAAACATAAGAGTCGACACCGTCCCTTTTCTCATTGTCGATCGGTTCCTGCAGCTTTCGTCTCTCGTCTTCTCTATTGCATCGATTGCTCGCAGGTTCGATTTCTCCATTGTTTATGCATCGATTTCTCGTCTTCTCCATTGCAACCCCATCCCTTAACCATTTGCTTGAATTCTACTCGGTTTTTACTTGAAAACAATAGATGGTTAAGGTTTCTGCTAGATTTCTGTCAACTCGAAAATAGCAGATGATTACAAATATGTTTTGCTATGAATTTGTTTTTCTACATGCCATCTGTTTACAAATATGTTACATGGTTTGTAATGGTACAGTTTGATCATTATTAATTATGATGGTACAATTTGACTCTTATTGATTTTAATGGTGCTATTTGATCTTTAATATGAGGTATGGTGGATAAAAACAATGGGCGGAGGTACCTAAATTGGACGAAAATCAAACATGGGGAACTTCTGGATGCATTAGTTTAATGGCTTCTGGAACAATTTTGATATCAGTTTAGTAACGTCATTTGGTGTGGGTTGTGTATTTTATATTGTTTTACACATTAAATGATTGTTTATTAAAATATTTTAAATAAAAATTATAATTTTCAAAAAGGGTATTTTGGTATTTTACCAACTTTTTATTCAAATTCTAAAGCTATATTATGTATGTAACACCCCGTTTTCAAAGAAGACAAAGTTTTCATTTTAGGGTTATTTAAGCACGACGCTAGAACATGTGTCATTTATGTACTATAAAAATAGCAAATAAATACCGTATTTCATATTTATATACATTGAACAATCTAGATACCGTAAATGTAAAAAAAAATCAAGTTATGATTACATAAATTTGTATGACTCAAAAAAGATATATTAATAGTCGGCTCGTATAGCGGGTTGGATATTCAGGTAAAAAAAAACAGTAACATGCCTATGTATAAATATCGTCAAGTAGGTCCCAGATACACTTTCAGATTAAGATTTAAGATAACACATATAAAGTTGTATCTGATAAAAAGTTATGATATATAATAAATCTATACACTACATATAGTTTACTTAATGCTTAAGAAAATGAAGATCTAATCGTGGCAAACGAAATAGGGAAAGAAGAAAGAGAAACCTTAACTATGAAGTATTTGTACCGACATAATTTTGCCCTTATATATGATATGATATTCAATAATCATCTGTTTTCGGAAGAAATCGAAGAATTTTTTGAGAATTCTACAACATCCGTTCATTCATTTTTCTCTGGCAGATGATTAGAACTTCATCTGGGTTCGAATCTAACTGAGAGGTCCACTAGAGTTCAGAAATTGTTGAAGAAACAACAAGATCTTTCTTTTCTTAGATGATCGGAAAATAAAGAAATGGTTAATCTATTCATGATACTAACGATAAAATACTTCCGTGAATGTAAAGTTTACGATGTTATAAAAAAGTGATGTCACACCATAAAAGAAATTAAAAAAATTAATTTCTTTAAAATATTTCATTTTATTGTCTGTTAATCAAATAGATGGTGAAAGCTACAACATTTCAGTTAAACTTTTCAAAGTCAATTATTTTTTTTTTTTACAAATTTCATTTCATACAAAAATAATCCGCGAACCAAACACCATATAAGGGGCTGTTTAACAAACACTTATCGAGTAAATGTTTATCGGATGTTACATGTCTTATCAGGCAAGCATGGTTATGATCGAGAATCTTACTCGAAAAAAAGACATAACAAGAATGGGAAATTTTACCTGATAAGTGAAAAAGGAGAATCTTTAGCCGGTTAGCGCTTGTCGAGTAAAATAGTCTTACCAACAATCCATTTTTGATGATCGAAAATGTTACTCAATAAAATAAGTGAGGGTTGGTGGCTCTTACCAATAAATATTCATATGATAAACATTTGATAAATAACTCCCGAACTTATATTTAAGTGGTAGGTTCTATTATTTTTAAATTTTAGTGTATTATATAGTACTAGAAAGGTATTCACACAAGGCAAGTAGATACATCTCGATTTTATATTTTGTGTGTGTTTGTTGATGTTAAGGTACGGTTTTATGTGGTTTTGAGATAACAATAATGTTTTATCTTTGAATAAAATATAAATTTGAATTTTTTTATCGATATCAGTATCAAATTAACTATTTAGAGTTCTTGGTTTTTTTCTGTCATTTATTTAATTCAATTTTTTTTGTTATAAATTAATTTAAGTTTCATAAAGAAATAATTTATTTTTAGTTTAATAATATATTTTTTCTATAAATATAACAATTAAGTATTATGTTAGAATTCACCTATTGTTTTAATTATATTTTTTTTTATATTTAAAAAGGTAAAAAGCACAAAATAGCAATCCACTTTCATAAATTTCTTTATTATAGCATTGTATTTGTAGGTTTTCTTATTATAAAAATGTACTTTCAAACTATTTTTAAAACATTGTACTTTGAAAATTTTACCCATTATAGCATTGGGTAACCTTTTGATTTAAATTTACCCATTATACCAGGTTTCCATGCCACCTCATTGTCCATGTAGATTGTCCACATGTACTATAGTGATGTGACTTTCTAATTACAACATTATACTTTCAAAATTATTTTATTATAACATCTACTAGTTCTTATTAAACAAATACCTTTAATTTTAATATTTAAATATTTTACATGTTATTTAATAAATATATTAAATGAATTAAAAAATTATAAATTATTCATTAATACACCAATATTAATAAAACTAGTAGAAGATAACTTATCTCGCTAATATTTTTTTTTAAAATAATAAAAATTGTTCTTTTTTTACCAAAAAAATATTATATTTGTTCAAACTTTTACTTGACGTATAAATATATTAAATTAATTAGATTTTTTTGAATTATTTATTAATATAACAATATTAAAAAATTGTAAAACAAAATTTATTTCGTTAACATTTTAGAGAGAACTTTAAAAGATATGTATTTTTTTGAACAACATAAAATAAGAAGWGTTACATTTTTTACAAACAAAATATATATCGAAAATAATGTAGCATATTTATTTAAGAAATATTTTACTCTAGAATATTTAATTTGCATGCCACTTAATAAGAAAAAGTAAAAAATAAAATAAATGTTTTTTAAATCATAACAATGAAAAATAAAAATCACTAATAATAATTTGAAATAGATTTTTATTTTTATTTTAACTAAGTCATCAAAATGATGTATCATCCACATCACCTCATTAAAATCACACAAGAAAAAAAAGTCAAGGGGTTAACTGGTTTAAAAGGTAACAGGTTACCCATTGCCTTAATGGGTAGATTTTTTAGAGTGCGATGTCTTAATAAAAAATAATTTGAAAGTACATTGCCGTAATAAAGAAAAACAAAAGTAGAATGCTATAATAAGAAAATTTATGAAAGTATGTTGTTATTTCATGCAATTAACCCTATTTAAAATGATATGTGTATCATGTGTTTGATTATATTTATATACAATTAATTATACGAATTCAAATATGAAACTTTAATAAGTTGTACATAAACACAATTTATTATAATCTTGAATTTCAAATAATATAAATTAATAAACAATATATTTTTAAGAGCTCTATCAAATTTTTGTAATATATTATAGATACGAGTCAGATGCCTTAACTTTTAATTTTTGTAGTCAAAAATAAAAGGCGTGGATAAGGGAAATATTTAAAACCTCAGGGGGGTGAAGTGTAAATAAATTTTAGTTTTACATATTCCTGCATTCCCCCTTTCCTTTGCTCAGTGAACGAAAGATGAAGCGAAGGTCGATAGCAACCTCCAGCAGCTATGGCTATGGCGCTCAGGAACAAGAAGACAGGCTAAGTTCGTTGCCGGATGTTCTTTTGATTTACATACTATCTTATATTGACACCAGGTTAGCAGTTCAATCGTCAATCTTGTCGAAACGATGGGTAAATCTCTGGACTTTGCTCCCTGTTCTCAATTTTGATTCTTCCTTTTTCGAAGAGGAGCAAAATTATACCCTAGATAACTTTACCTTCGATAAGTTCATTGATAAGGTATTAGCTTACCGTAATGGGTCAATTAAGATTGATAATGTCAGTATTAAGGTTACCGATCATAAAACCATGGCTAGGGTTTTTCGTTATGCTATGTCACATCGTGTACCCAACTTGAGCATTGATACTTCCCAAAACCTAAGTAAATACCATCCAATTTCATGCGCTGATTCGAGTGATTCATTGATGAGTTTTACACTGAAAGGGATGCTTAATTTTGGTAGATTTCCAAAATTTTCAGGGTTGGTTAGTTTGCGACTTGAACGGGTTAAGATAATTGAATCCGAGCCTTTTTCGTGTTTCCCCAATTTAGAGAAGTTGTTTTTGGTGAATTGTAAGTTGCCGTTTGATTTGCCTGCTTTGGAAGTGATTGGTTCTCGGCTGTCTAGATTGACAATCTCCTCGTGCTTTTATCATCCGATTCCTTATGAGAAACTTGTGCTTCTGACTCCAAAACTTGTGTTGCTCGAGCTTGATGGCCTTATTCCAATGTCATTTGAGGCTTCTGAGCTTCCTTTTCTGGATACTGTACATATCGATTGTTGTTTTTCATTTCCGCGAGTTGCTAGCGCTCACCAACCTGATGAGAGCCAGCAGAAGCTTAATCTGATCAATATCCTTCGGTGTCTTGGAAATGCTAAATCTGTTCATCTTTCCCCCTCAACTGTTAAGGTACTGCTATACCTCCACTTCCTTCAATGGTGTTTCAAAGTGTGTATTGAATTTGAATCATAATATGGGTTCATATTTTGTTGTTTATGGTGATTAATGTCTTTTACTGTTGGGATTTCTGTTAATACCAATCTGTAATCTGCTCTCCATAACCATATATATATATATATATATATATATATATATATATATTAAGGGGTCGAAACCCAAACGCCTACAGGGTCACCTACCTTACCAAATTAACATGGCAAGGGTCGAGAATCTTACATGGTGAGAAGCAAGACAAGGAAAGAGAGTCTTACACGGTATGTGAAGTTGATGACTCTTACCCCTAAGCGCCTGCCGGGTAAGATTGGTGAATACGGTGCTATTTTGATGGCCAAGAATCTTACACGGTAGGGTTAGTGCGTGTGGTGACGCTTACCGGTAAGCGCTCGGCGCCTAACTAAAAGATCATAATAACAACATAGTAAAATGTAATTGCGAAGTTGTTTATAAAGATAGAGGCATGTGTTGCAGTGTTTTGAAAAAAACTCTTGGATGAAATATTTGTTGGCAAATGTTTCAAGATGATTTGTTTTCCCTGGATTTTGGCTACACTCTCAAGTTGTTTAAGTATATGTATATAAGGGGAAAATTCATGTAGGTGAAAACCGTGCTAACCAACTATTCATGATGAATACCCCTAAATATGTATGAATGCATTTTCATTATCTATGTATTCATTATGAATAGTTAGTTCCCACGGCTCTTAAATGAACCCGCCCTTTGTTCAGATATGTGTTTCGTATGACTAGTACTCTCATTTCGTTTAATGTTAAAGGCACCACTTTCTCATGTTCTGTTTATCTTTTTCTTTTTTTGGGCTTAAAGCTCCTCGACCTATCTCATGGCATGCTTGTTGAAGAAACATGCCCATTTGGGAATCTAAAGTTTTTGAACCTCATCCCACCACCAAACAAACCGGTCGAACTTCTTCCTCATGTGGAGGCCTATTTGCTTAAGGATTGTCCCCGTGCCGTTGTCACCACATTGCCCAGGTACCGTAAGTTCATTCTCCATTCACCGTTTCTTTTCTTTTTGAAGTATATAATATTTATACACACTCCTAAACCTTTAGTGAGGTTTGAACCCGATCTCTAAGATAGCGCTGGGCCGATGACTCTTTATTGGTTTTGAATGTTTGTAGGTGATGAACAATGACCCAGGATAGAAGCATGCTCAATTTTGCTGAATATTGTATGCTGTTAGATATATTTACAAAGGAAGTGAATATGTGTGTGTATGTTTCCCTTGTTCAACATGAATCAAATGTAATGGATTCTAGTTTTGTTTTTGTTATATGGGAATTGATTTGGGAGACAAATGCGATTCAAAATCGGTTTCTTTTGAGTAGGAAGGAGACAATTAGAAATCTTGTGTTTTGGTTTCTGAAGAAATCAAACTCGGGTCATCATTTCTTTAGCAAGCAGGGTCCCGGGTCATATTGAATGTGGTTTTAAACAATCTACTCAAAAGTTCTTTTTTACAAACTAATTATTGCATCTTATGAGCCGTTTATTTAACACTTAGCAGTAAGTGTTTACCGACAAAGAGAGTGCACCGGTTTAATTCTTTTCTAAAGCGTAATTCATGGATGAGATGCGATTAAAAAATAATAAATGATTCAGATATTTTCTTACGCTTCTCACCGCTCACCGTAACTTCTCTTCCCATACAATTCTTTACCAACACAACAAACAGTAATATGTTGAGTTGATAAACATTTTTGTAACAAGAAAGCAGGGACGGACCCGATTTTTTTTCTTCAAATGATGGCACAATTTGACTATAAGAAAAAAACTATAGGGAAAAACATTTCAAACGGTGGCACCGTTTGACTATAAGAAACAAATATACATAATTTTTTTCAAACGGTGGCACCATTTGACCAAGAAAATAACACTAACATGATTCGAACTTGGGTCTGGGGTGGAATAAAAGCCTTGCAAACCAACTCTACCAAATAAAACTTGTTCTCATTGTAGTTTCAAATACATACGGTGATACACAACAAATTAATACGGTTACACCTTTCATGAACCTAATTTTTTTTTTACCCTTTGACGAAGGAATAATAGGATGACATGTGTCACCGTATACACCACTATAGGTCCATCCCTGCAAGAAAAGTCTTGTCGTTTTATTGTTATTTGAAGAACAAGGTAATGTTAAAGTAGTTCCAAAATCTATGTACAAATGATCAACAAAGAATAAACTAACTTCCAAATGCCATTTCATATGGAAAATAGTCGAACGAAGTTCGAAAATTAAGAATATTGTATTTGACAATAAGAGGTTGGAGACAATCAAATGAGGTGACGAAGGAGATGAAGGAACAAGAAATAAATATAGAATTAAATTACTAAAACATTATATAATTAAGGTGCCGTTTACCAAACGCTTATCTGGATAAGCGTTTACCAAGTCACTTTATTTTACCGGATGAATAGGGCAAAGACTAATAATCTTACCCGGTAAGTGAGGACGATGACTCTTACCATGGTTAGCGCTTACCGGGATAAATTGTTGCATACGATGCGTTTTACTGAATAAAATCTTACCCGGTAAGTAAGCGATAGTGTTGAATTTTACCGATAAATGCTTAACGGGTTAATGTCTAGATAAACGGCATCCTAAGTCAGACGTTAAAAATCCGAAGTAATTAAAATAGAATCATATAGTTTAAAATGAAACCAAAATTAGGTGGTTGAGACTCTTTTTAACAATTAAATCTATTTATCAACTCAAGTACAAGACAATCTGTCTGAGTTAATATTTTATGTTTTTGTTTTAAAAACTTTAAAAAGAATTTGATGCTCCGTACGATGTCACTGGTGGCACCTTCTGAAGGTTATCTTTGATCGTTTTCTATTCTCGAACACCATGTTATTGAAGTTGTATTCTTAAATAACATGATTTGTAGACAATGTCTCGTTATGTGACAAGACCAAGACATGCGATCAGCCGGGTATAACCGTGATAATCGTCTGATAATCTATATACGATTGGGATGTGATAATCGTGTGATTGTGAAACCTAATCGAATCGAACAGAATGTAGTCGAACCCAAATACGAATCGTATCATGTGAAAATCGTTTGATATTCAATCCGTCATTGCATTATCACATGATTATCACACACAAATCGTCCAGCGGAGTTGATAATTTACCCTAGTCGAACCAATAGATTGTACTTTACATCTTGTGATAATGGTATGATTGTGAAACCTAATTGAATATGATGGGAAGAAAAGGATGGAATAAAACAATGCACGTTCAACTCAACGTGGGATAATTCTAATTAATTAAAATAAAATAAAAATTATAAAAAACCTAAATACATTACTGTCCTTATTGATTTATTTTTATTTAATATAACATAAATCATTGATTAAAAAGGTTTGAGGTTAGTAGGTTATTCTCGTAAATTACGGAGGTATTCATTTGAAGCTCCACCTGTATGTATATGTATATATGTATGTATGTATGTATGTATATATATATATACATAAGATTACGACGAATGAGAGTAGTTTTTACGGTTTTTACAAATTGGAGTGGTTTTCATTTGATCGCTCCTATATATATATATATATATATATGTGTGTGTGTGTGTGTGTGTGTGTATGTATATAGATATATGTAGTTGGAGGTTCAAACGAGAACACCTCCATTTTACGAGAACGCAATAACACCCTTATCACATGTAATAATAGACTTGAGGGGACCATGTGATATGCGGACGATGTGTTCTACGACTTAGGTCGCGCCAAAGATTGTCTGCAGGGACGGTCCTATGATTTTTGATGCCCTGTGCGAAAATAAAAAAAATGCCCCTAAAACTATTTTTTTAAGCCAATAAAACAACGAAACATGCAATTTTTTAAAGAGTTTAGAACCTATTCAAGTTAAGTATCTCATCAGATGTTGATTTTTATTAATTATAATTAAAAAATACAATGGGTGGACATAAAAACCAAAACCCCGAATACAAAATATAAAATGATAAATCCTAGATTAAGATTGTATTTCCTTCTTTTCCGGTTTTCCCTTTTCCAAATTGAAATTAGCAAAATAGAAACTTTATTTTAATATATGAAACTTAAAAGACAAGGAAAACTATAATTAGTTTTTAACTAAAATAGTAAATTATATCCAAATTGTTGTCATAGTAAGTAAAAAGTAAAACCCAGAAGTTGCAGGTCTAATGAGTACATGGCTAAGTGCTTATCTGTTAGCAGCGTAATAAGTTTAATGGAACTAACAGCTTATTCCCTCAACTATGCATGACTGTTTCGTAGTGGCTTAATGATATAGAAAGTGACTTATCCAGTAAGCTTGTAGGGGGAGCTTTATATAGAAAGTCATTTTTTTTTCCAAACATGTCTCTTCCAACTAAAAAAACGTTCCTTACATCTGTGAAAAACTTTCTCAAACAAAAACTTTTTCAACTTATACAAACAGATTAATTCACACAGACAACTTTATACAAACAAAACTTTTCTAACTTTCCAACTTTTTCCAAGGATGTGCATTCAGTATTCATCACTAGCAGGCCTTGGGTCTGTTTTTATAGTTAAAGCTCAGTTGTCCAATTCTCGAATTTTTAAACTCAAAACTAGTAATAAATGACAATTTGATGTCCCTTTAGGCTTTGATGCCCTGTGCGGCCGCACGGGCTGCACGTGGCCAGGGCCGGCCCTGATTGTCTGTGTCTATGATTTACCATCATATGTGATGGTCTTGATATATTATAGTATCATATCAACAACAATCTTATCACATGTGATAATACTTGTGATGGGGCTTAGTGGTGTAAGGGCGATTTGGCCCTCAACCAAGATCGCATCGAAAATTGTTTGCGTCTTTCATTTTGCATCACATATGTATCATATGTGATGAATAATAATATCACATGTGATTGTCTATAGTAAAATGATGTTCTTGCATTCTCGTAAAATGAATGTGTCATTTAATTAAGAAATTTAAATTTAGACATCTAAAACGTTTTTTTATTTGAACTGGTATTAGAATATAGTTTTTTCTTATTTGTTTATGAATGTATAAAACTAGGGGTGCTCACGGCCCGGGTTGATCGGTTTGGAGCCGTTTTAACAACCCAACATAATGTTAGCGGTTTGAAAATTTTCAACCCAACTCAACCCAACCCAACCCGTACGGGTTGATCGGGTTGTGTTTAAACAATGTAAAATCACATAAAAATAAAGGAAACTTTCCTTTGAAATACGACCGACCATTCAAGATAATATCCAAGTTTATCAAATATTTAGATATTACAATAAAAATGTTTAAACCAAATGATAATACATCAATCAATAACAATAGTTTTAGACGTTTCCAACCCCGATGTTTTCGCTTTCTTCACGTTGAGGTTGGTCATGTCATGATTGTCATCTACAATTCAAAGGCAAAGTTAACAATTTATTGAAAATAGATAACATAATCCGAACAATGTTTAGAAATTACCTTCTTCCAAGAAATCATAAGATTGTGTTTCATCTAAACACTCCTTTATTTGAATCTCTTCGTGACTTACTTTCAACCAACTTTGGGTGCACACTAATGCCTCGAGCATTTTTGGACTCAATGAACTCCTAAATGAGTCCAAAATACGTCCGCTAGTACTAAACGCGGATTTAGAAGCAACCGTAGACACGAGAATGGCAAGAACATCATTTGCAATCATAGATAAAATAACATACCTACTAGCATTTGCTTTCCACCATAGTAAAATATCAAATCCGATAGTTGTTGGATCGAGAGATTCTTCAACCAAATATCTTTGAAGATCGTTCATTTTATTCGGAACTTGCAATTGTTGTTTTTGCATATAACTTTCCAATAATGACCTCTTATGAGTTTCATTGCTCTTTAAACGAGTCATTTTTGGCAACCTATACATATTGAAGATAAAAACAAGAAGTAAACAACAACTTAAACAAACATGAACGTGTTAAAATGCATAATAAAATAAAACAATTTACACATATAACTAACCTTTGATTCACCACCCCCAAACTCAACATTGTAGACTTCAAATAACTCGTTAAGGATTTCTTCCACCTTCACAGTAATCTTGGCAACAGTTTGACTATCATAAAGGCACTCAAAAGAAACTTCAAATATTACATCTTGTACCTTGGATCGAGTATAACAGACAAAAGCAACATCGGATTGATGTTATCTGGATCCCCCAATATTTCTCAAACTTAGTCTTCATCTTCTTGGCCATGGTATACAATATAAAATCATCACTTTCACACAAAAAATTCAAGTGTGTATGGATCTCACAAATCTCATAATAGAAGTTGTTAGAGGTTACATGTAAAGTGACACTAAATTTTAAAGTGACTTCATAAAAAGTAGAGAAAAATTTAACAAAAGCCGAAACACACTTCCAATCAATACTCTTAGGTGGTCCAACTCTCTTTTTCCCGTTCTCATTCTCTAGAAAGTGACTCAAGTACTTATGGTCTTCGTCCTCATAACTTGCAAAAGCTTTTTCAAATTTAAGTGCCACGTCTAACATCATAAAAGTTGAGTTCCATCTTGTAGACACATCTAAGACCAAACCACCCTTGTACGTAATCTTTTCCCTTTCAACACAAGCATTGAACTTTTGTAGTCTTGAAGGAGATGACCGGATGTATCTTACACTATTACGAATGATAGCGATTGAATCATGCAACTCCTTCAACCCATCACCCACAATTAAATTTAGTATGTGAGCACCACATCTGAAATGGATGAACTTACCATCAAGAACCGAGCATTTCCATGCATTAATCCTTTTCTTTACATAGCTAATAGCCCCATCATTGGTAGATGCATTATCAACAGTCACACTAAGAACCTTTGCTAATCCCGAACCAAGTAAACAAGTCTCTATAACCTTACCAATTGTCTCGCCCTTGTGATTTGCAATTTGACAAAAAATTATAATTTTTTTATGTAAATGCCAATCACTATCAATATAATGTGCTGTTAGGCACATGTAAGCCATTTGAGTACAAGAAGTCCAACAATCGGTGGTTAAACATACTCTTTGTCCACCCTTAGTTAACTATTTCTTCAACTTAACACGCTCCTCACAAAACAACTTGAATATATCCCTACTAACAGTCATTCTACCAGGGACATCAAACTTAGGTTGCAAGCTTTGAAGAAGCTCTCTAAACCCTTCACCGTCAACAACACTAAAAGGTTGTTCATCTTTCACTACAAACCTAGCCAAAGCGTTGCGACATTTTTCTTTATTAAAAGTCACGACCAACAAATTTCCCACACCATCACCACCGCCTTGAAAACTAAGTACTTTTTGGTTTTTATCGGTTTCCCTACCCGGATATTTCTTGCATTGTTTTCTTATGTGTGTCCACAAACTAGTTGTGCCAATTTTCTTACTGTCACAAGCATAATTTTTCCCATAATAGTTGCAAACACACCTAAGATTATTTGAATTTCCACCATCTACTTTTGCAAAGTGAGCCCAAACATCAGATACTCTACCACCCGACCTTTTTTTTATCGATGTTTGGTTCTTCTTTGATCTCTTTATCAATACATATTGGGGTTGGGGTAGCATTAGCATTCATTGAATTTGAAACTGTAAGGATTAAGAAAAAATCAAAAACCTCGCATTATTGAAATGCAAAACAGTAGGAATTGATGCAAAACAGTAAGCTACATTAGGAATTTAGGATAATGCAAAACAGTAGGAATCGATGTTCTAACTTACACTAAGGTACATTAGGCTGTAATGCAAAACAGAATTGCAAAACAGTAGGAATCGATGTTGTAACTTAGTGTATGAATCAATGTTGTAACTTACAGTAAGGTACATTAGGCTGTAATGCAAAAAAGAAATGCAAAACAGTAGGAATCGATGTTCTAACTTACAGTAGGAATCGATGTTCTANCAGTAGGAATCGATGTTCTAACTTACAGTAGGAATCGATGTTCTAACTTACAGTAAGGTACATTAGGCTGTAATGCAAAAAAGAAATGCAAAACAATAGGAATCGATGTTCTAACTTACAGTAAGGTACATTAGGATGTAATGCAAAACAGTAGGAATCGATGTTGTAACTTAGTGTAGCTGTAATTTCAAGTCTTATAGTTGTAACTTAGTGTAGGAATCGATGAGCAGCTAGGGTTTGTCGATGAATAGAGAAGGCTTTGTCTCGATTTCTTGCGAAGGCACGATGAATCACTAGGATTTTGTCTCGATTACTTGCGAAGGAGCTTTGTCTCGACGAGATGCAGTGACTGTTGATTGTTGTATAACGATGCGATGAACTTGCGAAGGCGAGTGGAGCAACTAGGTTTTGTCTTGCTGTGTTAGACACAAGAAATCGAGATACAACAGCCGTCCTAAGTGTGCGTGCCCCTGCCCCCTCCCCTGGTTTTGTATTTTTTGATCGGGTTGTCGGGTTGGGTCGGGTTCATTTGGACCTGACCCAATTCCAACCCAATAAGATCGGGTTGACTAATTTTTTTATCGATCATGCATCGGGTTACCTCGAGTTGGGTTTTTTTTTTTTAAAATTCGGGTTGGGTTGGTCGGGTTCATCGGGTTTTTGAGCACCCCTATGTAAAACGGCTAACAATTATTTTGTTATTCATTTATAAAAAATAAAAATTGCTTTTCCCCCAAATATTAAACAAAAATTCCATTATACTTGCTGAAATCTCTATTTTGCCCTCTAACTACTTCAAGCTTTTGAATGTTTTTTAGAGGGACTGGAATGAGATCTATAGAAACAAGAGGGGGTGGGACTAAATAATAATCGAGGGGGGTTTAATGTACAAATTTCCAATGTATTTATACCGCCTTTCATCCGTTGGACGGAAACTCGCCAAAAACCCTAAACCTTCACGGTCCAGGAAGCTGCAATCGACTCTTCTCTACGAATATGGCGGTAAGTAGCAATCCTCGAGGCTTTTATTTTCGGTAATTTTTCCTATTTAGTCTTTGTATAATGGTGTTCACACTGTTTCAGCCGAAATTAGTAGATCGCATTGTGTATTAATCGCTCAATTAGGGTAGTGAGTTAGTTTGTGTTTGTAGACCTAATTTTATGGCTGAATGCGGGATGTTTATCATTTTCTGGTCGTGTGTTTGCAAGTGCATATACGCCCAAAGCTTATGGCTGGGTTGGGGAATTATGTTAGTTCGCCGGCAAAAACTTGATTGAAGGGGTTTGATATTCTGGGTAGCGGGTGTTTGTCTATGTACACTCGACCTTATAGCTAGCTCAGTTGAGTTAGAATGTTAGATTGTTGTATTGCAGTTGGTTAGTTGGAGTTTTTTTAAAATTGGGTCCTGAGTACTGGGAAGATTTCATACCTTCGTCCTGTAAGTTGGTTATTTGTCACTTAATCTGATGAACCAATTACATCCACCGTCACTTATGCATCTAAGTTAAAGGAGAATCAGACAATGGATAAAAGGGAAAAATGTTCTATTTTGCTGATGTTTGGATAGGGTTTTGAAGAACTTATTTTGATTTTTGAGCAATTTGTAGATGATTTCCTTTACTGTAGTGTATAGTTTAAGATTAATATTTTGTGATGCAAATTTGGGAACTTAATTGTTTAAATTTTGCAGACTGTACCAGTTAATCCCAAACCTTTCTTGAACAATTTGACTGGGAAGCCTGTCATTGTGAAACTCAAGTGGGGAATGGAGTACAAAGGTTATCTTGTCTCCGTCGATTCGTACATGAACTTGCAGGTAGCCGACTGACTTCTTACCATCCCATTCAGTTTTGCATTCAATACCTGACTATAAACTATTTGTCTAAATATATGATCAGTGTATTGTAGCTAATGCCAACTACATTGGTTTTGTGAGAATGGAGGCTATGGTTTTGCATCTTTGTTATTATATTATTCTTGGTAATATGTTTGCATCTTGTTGTCATGTTAATAGAGCTGCTTACAGGCCATCTTTTCATTAATCTGCAATGAGTTAAATGATAATTTCTGTTTCAAGACATACATTCATTTGTGTTCAAATTTTGAAAAGACTTGACATGTCAGTAGTCATAACCTCTGCCTCTAATATTGGTTGGTGCCTTGTTTTCCAGTTGGCAAACTCTGAAGAATACATTGATGGGCAGTTTACTGGAAACCTTGGAGAGATTTTAATCAGGTATACTTGGATTGTCTAAATAGCTTTTAAAGATAGGACAACTTGAATTTAGAGTGATAGAAAATCATCTCTCTTCTTTCTGATTATACACTCTAGACGGATTCATGACCTATGAAAAAGTTCTATTTAGATCTTGTCCACTCATATCATCCTTGACTTGCCTTGAGCTGATGGTGGTGGCACAATCTTATCACTCCCATGTAGGAAGTAAAGCAAGATTGTAAGCTTTTTTGGTTGTGAAGTCATTTAGAATTCTTATGACCAAAAGAAATATTACGCAATAGTGTGCTGTATCCTTATGAAGCAGATACATAACTCATTGAGTGTCACATTACTACAGCTGTTTGGCCAGTGTTATATTTATCTGCCTATCTCTTGTACTCACAGGCAAGCTTTCATTTGTGCAGTCTTTTGGTAAAAATAAAGTATTCTTAAATTTGTAAAGGTTGGCTGGGGTGAGACCAGTATAATATGAATGACATCACTGGCCTTCGAAGGATAGTCTTTATTTTAGCGTAAACCATTGGAAGAGATATGCAGAGTTTCATTTCTTTGAGAAGAGCATCATAAAATCTTGCCTTTTTCGCCATGCCATTGTGCGTGGATAGTAATATGGAATGTGTGAATATACATTTGTAAATGAGTCAAATGACCATTCCTTCTAACCCTTGTAATGTTGGTCAAAGTGGGGTTTGTTTAACCTTGAGGGCTAGCTCTATTGGCAAATAAAGGCGAGGCCTTGGGGCTCCTCTGTATGGGTCACTAGTTTGAGTTTCCTCAGGGCTGCTGGGGATTTTCTTTGTTGTTATCGTTAGGTCCTCCATAGATTTAGTCGAGGTGCGTGCAAGCTGGCCCGGACACTCATGGTTTCCCAAAAATTGTGGGGTTGTTGGTATCTGTTTACTTAACTACCCTTTACCAGACACAAGGACAAAGTAAAGGAGTAGGTGGACTGAAACATAAAAGAGAGTTCCATGTGGTGCTTTATTCTTGGGTTCTTGTTCACATGATATCATATCAACTCCTTAGCTGAGGTAATGGAACAGAACAACCCCTTTATGTCTTGAGAATATATGTTGCCTATTCATTGAATATAGGTGCTCAATTAAAGCTCCAAAAGATTTTAAAAACTTAAATCATATTTTAAGATTTCATACATTGTTGTTGTTGCTGTCTCCCTCATTTTTCGGAAGTATAGAAGAAACATAGAACATTGTGTGATGACTGTTTTATACAACTTAAGTAAGCAGAACAGCCTTGTTGAAGTTTCTGGTTTCTCCGTGCATATGCGATGAAAAGTTCTTGTTCTTCCTGACATTTTTTGTTTTGCTTATATCGACCTTTATTTTGGTTATTAAAGGGTTTTCCAATGATCTGGTCTGATCCATGTATCATGTACATCATCTTCATGCATCAAATATGGATCTTGTGTGCATATATGATTGGCTAAAAGATCGGCGTTTATGTGTTGAATATGCAGATGTAATAATGTTCTATATTTACGAGGTGTACCAGAGGATGAAGAAATAGAGGAAGCAGAGCGCGACTAGCAGGCGCACTCTTTACCATTGAATCTATTGATTTTATTTTCAACCTCTTCTGTTCTTGTATGACTCTGGAAATACCTGTAGATGTAATGATCCAAGTGACACTGGCCTAGAAACCCTGAACCTCTGATTTGCTAAGAGTTCAATTGGGTGGATGTGGACGATATTCAGTTTGGACATATCAGACAATATTGCATGTTGCTGTCTTATTTCTTTTTTGGCCACAGATTGAATCGTGTTGATTGGGAACAGCCGCTTACCACTCTTATCCTTTTGGTTAGAGGTTGGGTGTATGTACATCTCAAATCCTCATATCCTACTTTTGAGTAAGATATATGGCGTTGATTTGGTTAATAAATCGTATTGATTTTTAGGGATCACAAAAGATCCACATTGAATGTTACACTTTCAATTACACTTTCATCTTGTTCCCTCTGTACTCAACTTCCACAAATATCACTGAAATATAAGAAGCATGTGTTCAACTCCATGTCTAAGGGGCTGTTTGTTTTTAATAAAAAAAGCTCTTAATGTCCTCTTTTAAGTCTGAATCGGTCAGACATAAGAGGATTTAGTGTGTTTGTTTTTTTTTTCAATTAAGAGCTTAAAAGCTCTTATTAGGTCTGAAAATTTAAGTGGTTGCGAAACCTCTTATTACCTCTTATTTCAAATTGTCGCATATCTACTCTGATCTCTTTGTGCTCGATTTCTCTAGATCAACTCTTCTGTCTCGATCTCTCATCTCTCAACTTTGCCAACTGTCGATCTATATCAACACTCGATTTCTCATCTTCAAACTTCAGATTTCAGATGCAAAAAACAAACAGTCTGACTGATTCAGATTTTCAGACTTCAACACAACCTCTTAAAAATCAGAAGTGAATTCAGACTTCAGCACCACTTGAAAAACAAACGCCACCTAAGAGTATCTTTAATGGATTTTCTATGGAAATAAATATCTTGATAATATTTGTGTTCCAACGAATTCTGTAAATCGTATTTTAAAATAGAGAATAAAATAAAATATTCTAAAATTTAATATGAGAAAAAAGAATTTATTTGGTTTTTTTCACCAATGTGTTATTTTAAAGGATTTTGTCTATAAATATTCAATTGACTTTAGTGTTTTTAATGAATAAGTCATTGTATAATTTTTTGAAACAAATAAGTCTTTGAACATTCTAAACCTATTAAATAAATTATTGAACTTTTTAAAACCTATTAGATACATCCTTATAACCTATAAAACTGATTAATGTAATAAAATAAGAGAAAAACTTGGAATGCTTTTTTTCCAGGTTTTTCCTTTATTTTAAACAAAAAAGTACTCACATATATAAAATAAAATAAATATACCAAAATAGTACCTACATTTAAAAAATATTATTGATGAATTATATTTTGATTAAAAATAAAAAATATTTTATCAATTTTCCAAATAAAAAAAATAAAAAA